AGACTGTAACCCGATGTCTTACATCATGGAAACGATCCCTATGAGTGACTTCCTAGAACAGGAAACTGAAGACTCGCTCAAGGACAACTCTCAGTTGTTGCAGGAAAAGTCTTCTAAACATGTCAATAACCTGACCTGACCTGCCCTGTTCACAATCTTCAAATATAATGTATGCATTAACAACAAAATAAAGCCATAACAGTTCCTTTATTATTTAAGTCACCGCTCAGAGTGGCTATATTATTAGCAGCATACAGGAAATCTTATTTTATTATTCTTTGTATATTTTATCTGCCACTGTGAGCTTTGATTTAGTGGACATAAAAAATAACATATGACATCCCTTTCCCTTTACCTACCTATGCTATTATTTCCCCATGATTGAAGCTCCTCCACTATGTCAACTTTATTTGTCAGGAGTGATTTTGTTTAAAGTTTTAATGTATACATGAATTTTAACATATGTAAGTTGTATTGCATATAAATGAGTAGAATTGTTTTCATTTCATTAAAAAAATACCACTAACATAAGTCATATAATAAGAAAGGTGCCTCTGATATTTGCTGTACAGATATTTTGACAGTAATACATTACATGATTAGAGAATAAATTCATTAATTCATTAATACAATATGTTATTTGTTTATATTTACAAAAAATCACATTTTATCTTTGATCAAATATATTGGTTCAACAAAATCTAAACTAATTGAGAAAGCTAAAAGCCAAATATTACAGTAACTAACACTGGCTTGGAGTATGATCTGCATAACAAATTGATTTGATTCTCAAGATTCACAAATAATATTTAAGTTTCTCTTTGAAAAACAAAACAATTTCAACATTTACAGACAGGTTTCTAAAACAATTTTTGTCATATTAGCTGAAACTGTCTTTACACACCAATGCATATTATAAAGTTAGGTGCTCTGAAAAAGCGAGTATAAAAATCGGCTGTCTGTAGTCCTCTCAAGGCTGCAGTAAACACAGCCAATCATTGCATTGCAGACCTGACGAGTGGAGCGGTCAGACCGGAGGTAATAATACCTGGATTTTCAACGATGGTGACAACTGAGGTGCCCCAAGCAAAACTTACACCATGGTGGCTTTATTTCTGCTGGACAGTGTCTTCAAGCGTTGTTTGACTGTATGTTACTCTTTTACAAACATGTTGATGTAGCTGTGTGTTTTGTAGTTATGAGAAAAACATGTCAACGTTGTGTGTACATAAACAACGCTGGCTAAAGGTCTCCAAGTATCTGCGTTTCTAGTATAAAAGTAACATTGTACATAGCTAAACCTGCTGTGTGAAAACATTTTACTGTAATTGGTGCTGCTTTGCCCTCAGGTCACCTACAGATTTGAAGTCTGGTGCCTCTCACCAGTATACGCTGATCAGACCACGCTGGCTGGCCTGGATTACAACCACTGTGTCCACAGCCCAGCCAGGAGAAAAGTTGATGACACAGTTCAGTATATTGCATTTTTATTACTCCTGTACATTTTACTCAATACATTTATAAGTGATGAGTCAAAAAATATTAAACAGTATGAGGAATCATGATGGATGGTGCTGATTTATTGTTTTGTGTGGAAATGCTAATTACTGTATAAGAGAACAAGTTAGGTATTGAAAACCATTCACTGAGCTGATCCTCCTTTCTTACAACAGAAAGTCCAGGAAGTGGAGCACTGAAGGTGGAGAAGGTTACATCGCAGAGCTCCACAGTGCCATCCTCCTCCTCTGATGGTTGTCTACTACTGAGGAGATGCCTAGAAGCAGAACCAGGAGACCTTATGATCCCCGTCAACATGGGGTTCAGTCAGGTGTCCCTGCCCCAACTGTATTGCTAGATACAGCAAAACGTACAACAAAAAGTAATTTGGTTGGTTTTGAAATGTGTTAATCATGTCAGAGAGGTGATTGTGATATATTAAATCATCTCCACAGCAGCGATACAATGCTACGCATAAATTCTGAACTGTCTTCATAATCAGTCAGGACACCTCTGGACACACCTTTCTTCCTGTATATACTTATTTTTAATATCTATATGTAGTTGCTTGATTGTTTATCTGCAAGTGTAAAGAAAAGGCATTTATCATTTTCAATGTTTTATTTAAAAAATGAATGAATGAAAATATTCTCCAGAACAGGGAAAAATATATTTTGTATTTTCTCTACTCTCTTGGGAATAAAACAAAAACAATGTACAGGTACTCATCCACACAGTGGATGGAATTATTTGTGTAGCACTGAGTCAGTTAGTGACATTACATCTTCCACCCTGCTAGGATTAAACCTCTGTATTGTCGTAGTGGACCAGGATAAATTTTGCCAATCTTCCAGAAACAGCAACTCAGTATCGCGACTCTGTGAGCCCAAGGAAAAGATACTGCGCAGAACCCTCAAACTCCCAGGTCTCTGGTAGAGGACCCGAGCTTGAGGATGACACATACCACCCAGCAATGGGAGAGAGGGGGATTTTTTTTTCATATATAGATTTGGCAATATGGGAGTGCTCAATGTCTGATTTTACATTGATCTACCATTTTTCTCTCAATAAGTTAATATATAGCCTATTACAACACACATTTAAAAGTTTATTGCTGTAAATAAAAGTAAAAAGAAAAACAACTTCCAATAAATGTTTTTAAAGTGCGTGAATAAATCCAAAACGGAGACAGCCCTAATATACACACACCTGTTCATATGCCTGTGTTGCAGGTCCTACAATATGTGCTCCTTACTTGCACCTCGTCCTCTCCATGCTGCCTCTTCTTCCTCGGACCGTGGCTGCCCTCCCTCATCTGCTTCGCCTCGACCCCAGGCCGGTGTTATGATCATATATGCTGCTTTGTCGAAAAATGGTACCGCAGCGCAAATCAAGTCAAGTCACTCTGCCCTATCAAAAAATGCTACCTTATGTGTTTCTTTTTACAATCCCATAAATTATAACTATAAACATTATTATGACATCTTCTGTTTTTGATTATATTGTAACATCATTTCAGGGGTAAGGAAAGCATTGAGAATTTTAAAGGTGGAGGTAAAAGAGAAGGTCATTGCTAATGGGATTCCAAATATTGGAATGAATCTTGTCACTTCCTCTGCTGCTATTATTGCAGATGTTATTCCAAATTGACAACAAAGCTTAATGACAAGATCAGGGGTTATTTTTGTTAGAGCCAGAGGTGAAACAATGATGTCAGTCAGGTCCTTCAGTGGCACACGTATCAGCAAGTCTCTGCACTGACCGGGAATCAAGAACAAACCCAACTACGTATTGCGTGACAGCAACAACCAGCAGGGCTGTAAATTCAGGTCACTCATGTTACCCTTTCCATAAAAGATACACCCTAGACCCCATCCACACTACTGCGTTTTCGAAATAAAACGGAGACCTTTTGCTACGTTTGCACCTCCAGTCCAGATTACAACAGCGAAAACAAAGACCCTGCAGACCCCGTTTTGCGTTTCAAAACTCTGGAGGGTGTTTTACTGAAGACGGACCAAAACGGAGGACTTTAAAGAATGATAATATTCAGTCTTTCCGTTGTGTAAATACCATGATGAAAATATTTAGACTGCAACCATCATATCACCTGATTTGCCCAAAGTAATGAAATGTGCATAACCAAGATGTGTTTTTTCCTTACACTTAATGGCAATGCGTCACACAAAAATAATTCAAAAGCTCTTTTGCATTACAGACCCACACAGTTTATGTAATAATTAGTGCTGGACAACAATTCAAATGTATAATCGCGATTAATAGCATGATTTTCTGTGATTAATTGCGATTAATTGCATAGTTATGCGCAAAATTGAATAATGAATTCTAAAGTAGTGTATTGCCCACTTTTAATTTAAATGTACTGCTATATACACAAAAGTGCAATAACATGAAAACTCTTAAAACAAATAAGGTGCTTTATACCAGCATTATTCCCTTTAAGCAATAAAATATATAAAAACACAAAAAACATAAAAACATAAAACCAAAGTTATTTGCCACTGCCAGGGCATTACCTTTTATCTAGCTTGTTAAAACAAGTTACCATCAGAGTCCAGATTATAACATCATAACAGGCACCTTCTGAGCAGGTTAACAGGTTGGGTTTTTTTCTGAACAGGTATCAGCAGAAACATTTTTCTTTTCTCAGGGAGCAGCATAAACAGTCTACGTTCAGCAGCAAGTGTCCCTGTTAAGAGTGAGGTGAAGTTCTCATCTCACGCACACGCCCGCCAGTTGCCAAAGTTGAATTGTCTTCAACCTTTTGTACGCGACGCGGAGCACAAATAATTGGAGTTTCCAGAATCTATTACTGTTTACTAAATAATTATCAGGACATCAACAGGAGAGAATTCACATGGCAGAGCATCCCCGCAAAACTAGATGAAGGCCTATTAGGTAAAGTTATGTAGCCTATAATTTTAATTTAAGTAAAATAGGCTACAGCTGTGTAGTGCACATAATCTGTTACCATGGTTACTATATATAGAGCGCCTGCCATTTTCTCGCGGAGCGCTTGTCTCCTGTTCACCTGAGAAAAGAGCAAACCTGTAGGCCAAGCAACTACGTTGTGATTTTAAGGACGTTCCTAAGGCCGACATCTTCCACAATACTAATCAGCATGCAGTGTGTAACTATCCACCGTGCTATAGCATTTGATCGCTTGTCTTGCTTTTGTTTACCTACTTCTCCTACACGCTGCATCCAGCATAGTCTGCCGAAGCATGCCTAAGCTGCTTGTTTGGGTGGGTGATTTGCAGGCTGATCAACATCCCACCCCTCCTGTGACGCATGGTTTGACTGTAGGCCTATGTGTATTCAGAGGCAGTAAGCAACGGACTTTCAAAATAATAATAATAAAAACTGCGTTTACGTGAGATAAAATAATTGTCAGCGTCAATTAATGAATGCATCAAAGCGATAGTAACACGTTAACATAATACGACTATTGTTTACTGTATTAAAACAGATAAAAATTTCAATGTGCTTATAAGTTATAGAAGGTTTTTTATTAATATCAACAGAGTAAATAACACCTACATTCATAGTCGGCACTGGAGTGATCAACTGCAAAACCTACGGTGGCACTGAAGTGCAAACCACAACAGCAATTTGTTGTGGCGATTTGCTGTCATGTTGTGGCAACTTGCTGTAGTGTTGTGGCAAATTGCTGTTGTGGTTTGCACTTAATGGCCACCTTAAAAATCTGATTATGCATGTTTTCTAAAAATGTGCCTCAAGATTAAAAAACTATGATTTGTATACTCTATATTTTAAAAAAAATACAATGTTTGAATTCAAAAGCTTTAGTGTACTCTGCCGTTTTAAATGCCTCATTAAATGCCAATGCCACTCCATTTTCAAAATCACACTGAGGTGTTCAAACCCAGGGCCTTTGTAAACACCCTCTGTGCATCCTCAGCAAGCATGTTGAGGAAAGTACTGAGAGCTCTGTAGGTAGAGATAAAAGAGAGGCCCATTGCTGCTGGGATTCCCAATAATGGAATAAACCTGGACCCCTCCTCTGCTGCCATTAGTGCAATTTCACCTGCAGACAAGGACATTAACTTCATGATAAGATCTTTGGTTATTTCCTTTGCAGCCAGTGGTGATTTCATCACTGCTCTAAGATCATTCAAAGGCACACATGCACTGAGAGCAAGATTCTCCAGTGATTTGCTATCAAGACCAAACGTAACTTGGTACATTTTAACGGTCTCAACCAGAATGGTTACATCAGCAGCAAATGAGAGCCCAGCAACTGGTGCAGATGCTATGAGTGCAGATACACTGGCATAGTACTTTATTTTTGCCTGTAAAGCCTCTTTCTTCTTGTTGATGATCTCCAGGCTGACATTGGGCATGGCAAACAGCAGAGCATTCCTCTTGTGTGCAGGGAGCTCTCTCTCCAGGGTCTCCTCTAACTGATGGAAATCATACAGTTGGAGATCAAAGCTGGACACCAGGAAGACTTGTGGAGACTTAACATCTTGTTCTTGAAGACCTGTGTCACAAAAGGAAAACAAAATTAGAAAAAAACCTCTTGAGCTTCCTCATGTTGGGATTCACTTCCCAGCAACCCTCTCTAGGCCAGACACAAAGACAGGTAGGTCGTATATACAGTATACAACAATTTTCAGATCAGAAAACCCATTCTCATTCCCTAGTCATCACAAATGGATGCATGGTGAAGACCCCTTGGTATCAGTTTTTAATGTACTGGGAAGGCCTTTAGCGTTATCGCTGAGTGGTATATAAATAACAGAAAAGTATAAGCAAGGAAGTGGTTCGGGTAGACAGATGGGTCAGAAACTGGACTTTTGCACACAAGACTGGTGTTTGTTTCCAACGTGAAACAAAAAGTCAGCCATGTAGCTTTGTTTCTTAGACCTAACCAAATTGCTCTGCATGGTCATATGAATCGTTTTTAACTTTCTTAGCTCTTCCTCTCAACTTGGCTGCCATCTTGTCCGCTTTAAATAAAATTGTCTTCTTGTGACCTTTATAGCATTGCACATGCCTTTTTAGTTTTAGGTTTAAATGATTTCCCCCTCTAACCTCTGGCCTACCTTTAATGCAGTTTTCCCTGATTTCTTCAAGAGTCCTTTCTGCATTGAACTCCCTCTGACTTCTTTCTGCATCACGTATGTTATGGTCAATCTTTGAGCGAACAAAGTAGAACTTTTTCCCCATCTTCTGAATCTCCTGAGCGAGCTTCACATCATTTTCTCTGAAGCGAGTGTCTGAGATGATGATGAAGAAGTCAAACTTCTCAAATCCAACATGCTCCAGGTACTTGTGAGCTGGAAAACTGGTGGTGCCAATGCCAGGAAGATCCCACAGTGTAACATTGGGATAGTTTGGATGGGGGTATGCTGTAACCTTCTTGGTGGTTTCTACATAACCAGTAGGAGCAGCTCTTTCATCTTTGTTATCTATGCCTCTAAAGGCATTAACAAAGGTGGATTTACCAGAGCCAGACTCTCCTGTGATACCAATATTTAATGGAGTGTTACTCTGCTCCTTCAAATAGTCCTGGATCTTTGCAGCTCCTTCAGCATGACTCTTATCCATTGCTTCTTTAATTTCTCTCAAAAGGTCCTTGTTTTCAAAGAAGTCAGGTTGATCATCCATGGCCATCCCTGAAACAGTGAGAAAAACACATGTAAAATAACTGCACTAATGTAATATTCACTAACAAGGTCCACGCCAATGTTAGGTTTTATAGTGGTTTATTATGATGAATAGTTATAGAGGGTCGAGAGGGGAGGGATGAAAAGGGATCGAGAGAAGAGGGATGAAGGGGTCGAGCTGGTTGTTTAGGGTTTGGTGGCCGGAGCGGCTAGGAACCCGAGGGGTCGAGATTCAGGGTAGGGGCTCGTCTCAATAAGCAGCTTAGTCTTATGAACCCCATTAAAAGAGGTGAACAAGCAGGGTTTGGGTGGGAGGGATGTGGGAACTGAGAAACGGGAGAGAAGACCGGTTAGACGGCTTATATACGTGAGTGCATGTGACTGGATCTGAGAAGCAGCTGGATGGAGTGAGTGAAGTAAGGGTGGTTGATTGGAGGAATTGAATGAAGCACAGGTGGTAGGATAAGTGAGGGGGGCGTGGTCCTGTTCCTGAACCTCAGTTTACATAAATCCATTTTGATTTGATTATTTTCACGCCAAAGAGGACAGCTTATTTTCCAATAATGAAATAATCAAAATGCCAAAATCAAAATGTGTCAATCAATAAAAATCAATAATAAAAATGCTTGATTTTCACTAACAGGGAAGGACCACACCATCAAGTGGACGTTGAAGTATAAGTCAAGTGTAAGCTGACCAGATTGATTAGTATTGGTTTGCTTTAAGAAAAATACCATAGTGTCGTCTGACAAATAAGACGTATCGGAAATGCATCCTTGATGGTGTGAGGGCAAAGGTGAATTCTGAGCAAAAAAAACAAAAAAAGCAAGCAAGAACAAGTTCAAACAAGTTCTCTGAGAAGGGACATTATCTGAGGATGCACCATATATGAAGCATGGTAGGGCTGCACGGGCAGCAGTAAATTAAATTGTAGGCAAAGTAGATGTGATTTCAACAAGTCTGTAATTGGCCCTTCACTAAGCCCCGTCCCCCTTAGTTACTGTTGCTAAGACCGACAAACTGTCGGTGTTGCCACTGTCTATTACTGCACTCCCCGGAGAAATATTGTCAAATTTGTTGAAAAAAGCAATCTCACAAAGAAGCAGACAGTTTTTCAGATGCATTATACATTTGAAGGTTGTATTCAGGCTGTCGGACGTGAAAAGAATGAAAGATTGAAGCTAAAGCCTAACGTTACGATCACATATTACAAGTGAACCACCGCATCCCCCGATGATTGAGACAAAAGACAACAATTTTAAGAATCATCACTGTTCCTGTAAAGCTGGGTAGGCCTCTATTCATTATTACAATCATTAAAAAGCAGAACAGTAGGGCCTTCTTACGTTACATTCAGTGGGAAGTTAGCTAGCGTTAACTAACATTACATTAGGAACAATGATGATGATGATGATGATGATGATGATGATGATGATACAGAAAATGAGGACAGCACACAGACAGAGAGTGAGAGCGACATTGTGGAGGTACAGCTCAGCCACTTCAGGTAGCCGCTGTGCCAGATAGCAGACACTGGCAGAAAGTCGTGACAGCCTCGGGTGGTTCCTCCAGTGGAGAGAAGCAAGGGAGGAAATGAGAGAGAAACAGCGGGAGATGGAGTGGCAACAGCTTCATGAGCTACAGACAGTTGAGTTGTCAACAATTCATCTGAGCTTATTGTGGGCCTCCCAGATGGTATCTAGATGAGACATAAGAGAGGTGTGCAATGGATTGAATAGGAAGGGATGAGGAAGGGGATTAAGGGATGAGGGAAGACAGTAGTGTTGTCACGATACCAAAAACATGACTTTGATACCTGCCTAAATATCTCGATACCGATACTAAAACAATTCCGCAGCAAAATCTAAAACATCAGGAAAAGTAAAAGGATAATAAAGGACAGAACAACAAACTTAAAATTCAGCCCAGATTTTTTGTTTATTTTAACAGAGCTTATTTATGGTAATTCATTCCAAAATTACACCTGGACACAACTAAAGTCATACAGTACAGTCACGCAAACTAATGATATATAATTAAATATATAGCCTATATAAGGACCTATTGGCAATAATACTTTGGTCACCGCCACCTTTTTACAGGAAAAATAACATACCTAATATGAATCAGGAATAACTCCTCAACCATTTGGCCTAGGTGCATTCTGGTCTCCTTTGAATGGTCAGAAGCTAAGGAATCTAAATCCATTGTAAATTAACATATTTATTTTACATTTACCATTACATATTTACCATTACAGACTAAATGGAGATGCAATAAAGAAAAATATATTTTCATCCTCACATGGCAAAAAAATATATTTTTAATGCAATAAACCATCATTAAATAGATTATAATGCAACATAATGTCTTTTAATACACCTGGAATGCAATTGTAACTGTAAATTTAATGAAAATAAACTAAAACAAAACAGTTATCATTAGGGGTGTGACAAGATCTCGTACCACGAGATGAAATACAAATGTAGGCTATAACCAAAACATCTCTGCTATAACTGATAAGATAGACTTGCAGAGTCAACCTTACTCTGATTGAGACTGTGAGCTGCACTTTATGAGCTGCTCAAGTTAAGATGCGTGGATTTGTGGTGAGAGTTCTGCCTGATCACAAGTGTTTCAGTTACTTTCCGTTTCACATGCAGTCCCAAACTGAATTAGTCAAGTTGTCTTAAGGTTATAAAGTTACTACCACCGGATCAATAACCGGATAATGCACCGCAGAGTAAAAAGCAGGTAGACTTCTCAATAAATGACAATGTTTGTCTATTAAAGTCTCATTCATTAATAATTTCTCATTCAGGTGAAAAGGTGCCACAATCACATTTAGAGGTTACTTCCCCAAATAAAGTCACAAAGGGAATGGTAGACTCAATCATGAATCAGCAAGGATGATATTAAAGAGGTGGTATTATGCTCATTTTCAGGTTCAAAATCATAATTAGGGGTTGTACCAGAAAAGGTTTACATAGGTTTACAATTTTCAAAAAAACACCATGTTTTTCTCATACTGCACATTGCTGCAGCTCCTCTTATCACCCTATGTGTTGTACGCTCCGCTCTTGAGCTACAGAGTGATGCATCTTACTTGTACAAAATCTTTCTTGAGAGCTGTACATGTGCAGTTCTGTTTCAACTTGGAAATACTACCCTGACTTTGTGATCCAAGATGGCTGCTCTGAATATTAACAGTTAGTGAAAGCTGTAGTTTATATTGTTTATTAGCACTTCTGTGTACTTGTACTGTTGTCTGTGGACGTGTTGCTACAGTGTTTAGCATGAGTAAATATCGCACAATGCAGGTTTTTTTTTTATCAGCGGTAACAATGGCTAACCTGGCCAAGCAAGGTTTTCCGACTTGTTAACTGGGATGCTGTCAACTCGGGTGTGACATCATTCCCAGCTTCCCACCATCTATGTAGCTACTGCGGGTCGGCTACCAGACCATGAAAAAGACTGTGTTCCAAAGCGGCTGTAGCAAACCTACGTAAGCTACTGTTTAATAAAATAATGAATATGAATATTCAGAAATATTAATTCATACTCACACTGTGGCCTGTCAGACGTATGGCCTACTAATTTTCTGATTGATTGCGATGGATTTCATGCTGCCTATTTGTTAAGAAATAATGTTAGAATGTAAATGAAGCACATGCCTACATTGTGGTATGATTTGTTTTAAGGTTGAGGTATACAGTCAAACACATAGGCTAAGCATTAATTTATTGTGAGAAAGAGTGAGATACAGGCTGTTTAATAAACATTTAATTATTAAAATATAGTGTCTATGTGAAGAATATAAACAACTATGCTTAACCAATCTATAGAATTGCATCCTTCAATACTATAGAATTAACAATAGGCTGAGTAAAAACTGAAAATATAAATACATAAATATATTTACTGACCAATCATAAAAATTGTGTTGAATTAAATTGAGAAATGTTTGTAGATAGATTATTTATGTGTGGTTTCATTGTTTGGATAGTATTACTGCAAACAATGACAAATATTTTATTCTATATCTGTGTTCACACCATCCTTTACAATTACTCAAGTTCATTAGCAATATCTCAGCAAGAACAGGTGCTCTGTGGAACTCATTAGGAGTGAGCTTTTTCTGGTCATAGTTTTACGGTAGCTCCAGCTCCCTTATTTTTATGTATTGAAGGTGGAAATCCTAGGTGTGTAGCATGGACAGGGTGATGCAATACTAGTTTCAAACATCAATTTCTCATTTGCATTTTGCGAGAAAATCGTGTGCTGCCCCTGGTACAGAGTGCTCAAAAGGCTCTTCTTTTCTCTCTCTCTCTCTCTCTCTCTTTCTTTCTGTGTGCGTGTGTGTGTACGTGTGCTGAAGGCTTGAACCTAGCAGTGGGCAAAGCTTTGGTTTGCAGAGCACACTAACTACAGGCTGTTCATAATGGTATTTCTCCCCCCTTGCTTGAAAACTGGAGTAAAATAGAAGTGAAAAAGTCACTATTGTCTTTTGGGGAATAGTAGAAAATGTAATCCCACAATGATCTAACACCGTGCACATACCAAATATGACAGAATTCAAAAATACTATGTGGTGAGACATTAACACCACTAGCTTTTAGTTAATCACTGATCATCACTAATAGTAACATGCAATTGTACTAGGAGGCTGGGTGGAAATGAGAAAGAGGAACTGATTATATTGTCATTATTTTTTGAAAATATCATATTGTTATGCAGTACAACCTCGAACACACCAGATCAATTTTACTGACTTTTACTGAATATTAGAAGCTACTCACCCTGGAGTCTTAATGTAGATGAGACAAGAGCAGACCACCTGTATGAGTTACTGAGAAGTTCTGCTGCAAGAAAAGCAGATTCTTTACTCTTATAAAAAACAAGAGTCCAGCCCTTTGTACACTGACCAAAGATCACGTCATTCTGGTGTGGCAGACAACCGATTGGTTACTTGTAAAGCAGCTGATTTACAAGAAACATGTTGGAGCTGCACTCTTTATCTCCCCCTGCAGACTACTAAGTAAAAAACACTTCAGTAATGTCCTCTACCTTTCAGCCAACGGTGGACAAAGTACATTAAGCCTGTACTTGAGTAAAAGTACAGATACCCTTGCTAAATATTACTCCACTAAAAGTAGTAGTAATTCAAATTTTTACTTGAGTCAAAGTACAAAAGTACCTGCTTTGAAAGTGAAAGTCCTGCATGGAAAATGTTACTAAAGTAAAAGTATGTAAGTATAATCAGAAAAATGCATTTAAAGCATTAAAAGTAAAATAACTCATTGCAGAAAGAAAAATGTCCTGTGTGAAAAAAAAATTCTTCCCAAAGAAGAGGGACAGAGTCAAAGATGTGATGAATCAATTCTTACATGCAGCACGGAGAGAAAGATACGGTTCTCTCCTGACATTCAGAATCTCTCCCCTTATATTCTCTCTTAAAAACAAAAGGAACAGCAGATGGTGATTTCAAACAAATGTTGATTTGTTTGAAAGGACAAGCCCAGCATCAAATTCCTTTGTCTTTCCCTAAGAGAAGGGGGGTGAGTTATCACCCCTCAACTAGACAGGTTGACTCCAAGCTTTCACCCCAAAAGAGGTGGGCGTGAAAGGTTTGCCACATCAAAAACACTCCAAACACACTCCAAAGACTCAAAGCATTTATATTTGAGTTAATTAAATCTTTAGTTACTTGATTACGTTTGCCTCTATTTGAGTAGTTATGTTAACTGTTGTTGCTATCTGTTGTTGATATTAGTGCTGAAAAGAAAGTTTCCTTCATCTAATGTAATCAATGCTTGTTCATAATACTTTCCTACAAAATTTCTTTAGAAATGATGACAAAGGAATGTTTTACTATACTCTTCGCCAGCTTGAATTTAAGGATGAATCAACAATATTCCCAGTTCCTAAGGAGAGATGATCTTTGATTTAATCCAAGCTGTCCTCATGTAACCTGAGCTCCCCCAAGTGGAATAAATAAGTTCTACATGCCCTCATCGGAAATGCTGTTAAATGTATAAATATCCTGACCAATAATGTGAAAATTGTTTCCTGTTACCAAATGCTTAGAACAGTAAAACCGTTTCACCGTTGAGGTTTGATTGTGGAAAATATTTGATTATAATACGAGCAAATAGATTTCTTTTTAGACATTACGTTTAGAAAGGCAGTCCCTTGGGAAACCTGAGACGCCCCCTGGGGAACCACGCCCCAGACAACAAAAGAGCGACACGCGACCTCGCTTCGCTCTCTCTTCTCTTCGCTGTTGGCTCTTCCACCCTGCTCGGCCCTCTGGACGCTTCGGCACGCGCAGCGTGCCTCGCCAGGCAACGCCCAGACTCGGCCAGCGAAACAAACAGGCCTTTGTTCGCCTGAAGCTACACACCTGAAGTGCCGCGACATCGATCTGCCTTCAGTTTGTTTTATTTTCTTTATTTCTTTTGTTTGTTAAAGTTATCAGTCCGTTAAGTTACACTGGACTAATTCAGGAACGACCAAGTTCCATTTTAAGCCTTTTTCGTCGAAGCCAACTTCACCGAGGTCAGACCAAGCCACGTGGTCTCGCCAGCTACAACGAAGGAAACCTGAAAACAGCCGAATTGCCAGACGGAGGAGGCATTTTCAATCACACACGGAGAACCCTGGAGAATCCCTAGCAAAAAGCCAGGATCGGGCAGCTAGCGTGGGACCCGTGCAACAGGCCAAAAGCAGGCTGTCGACAAGCAGTAAGAAAAAATGGAATTCAAGGGAGGGAATAAATTTAGGCACCTAGAGTTTTGTGGGATAAAGGGAACAATAGAAACTTTAGCCATAATCATTTCTCTAGTTGTAACAATAATCCTAGTCTCATCTCCTAAAAACAGGTCCCCCACAGTCCCCATTCAGCCCATTAATACTGCACACATAACAAACTCTATCCCCCAAACAGTACAAATGTATTTTTAGAGAATCACAAAAGATTTAGAAGATCCAGGAGGATTGCTCAACCCATGCAAGACGAAGAGTCAGATAGTGAGGTCAGAGAAGAGGAAGATGATTTCTTAGCTTAAATCCTGATTTGATTTACAACTTCTGTTTTGTTAAAATATCTACATTTTTGATGTGTATGTAATGTTTTAATTTTCAATGACATAATTGTAGATATGCTAAGTCTAATAGTGATTTCACACCAATAAATGGTGTGAAAGGAGGGATTGTTGAGTTTTAAAAAGTTACAACAAACTTAATGTATTCCAGTGTTTCAGTGTTTTTCTTCAAATGTAAAACTGCAGGATTTTAGGCCAGACGATTGCATTAGAATGTTGATTAAACCATTGTTTGTAACCTCTTTGTAATGTGAAGAAAACGGACACCTCTTTGTTTAGTGCCAGAAGGACTGTTTTGTTTTGACTGTTTCATTGACACTTAAGATAGGGTGTCAACCATTTTGGACACAAGCCCAGTTGTTCTCTATGATTAGTTTAGAGTAAAAGACTGTTTATTCCTGTAGATTGAAGTGGTGTTTCACGTCTGGGATCGGTGCTCTTTTGTTTGACCAAAAGCAACGTAGAACATTAAGGTACACACTTCCTAATTGGGTGACCAAGAAGTTAACCAAACGACCAATGGCTATGGACCTAAGCCATTTGGGGGAAAAAGGACCCGCCCACATACCTGGAGGATATTAACAATTTATTCTGTGAGAATCAGGACTGTAAGCTGTGGATCTGGGAGGAGAAGCAGCTTTTCAGTCCACTGCTGGAGGCGGCTTTAGCTCAGTCTGCCAGTCTGCCATCTCTTTATTCACTAATTTTGTAATTAAATCCTTTTGTTAATTTTTTCTAAATCTGAAAACGCAAGAGCCACATATTTAATTAAAGCTGCAAGCAGCGTTGGGCGGGCCCTCGCACTTATAAGCGCGTCCGCGTGTGAGCCGGCCGAGTTGCATATTCTGGAGCTCTGCCGGTGCGGCTGTGAATTTGCTACGCGGTTATGACGCCGCATGAAGGTGTTATATGTCACTTCCTGTGTCCCCTGTGTGGAGCTACATAGCACTTGCCGCTATGAATATAAATCGGTATTGACGTGTAGATGTCTGCGTGGTGGGAGAGTTATCAAGCACGTAAAGTTTGTTTCAGATGTGAGCATGTACACTGAACAATAATGTACCCAAACAATAAAATAAATTCCTTTTATATTTCCCTGCCTTGTTGTTTATGTGTACATACAGAGGAAGAATGTGAGAACAGCACACATTTCATCGTTACTGTGTGTTAGAGCATGTGAGAACAGTGGATACTTTTAATACAGCCCACACCCCTAATACTGTGTAACTATAACAAGTAGAGAACAGAAGAAAAAGATGTTCTTTCTTTACAACTGTCTGCATAGCTTATTCATATTGTGTAATGAATGAAAATAAATAGGCCTACTAGGCTCCTCTCTACTTTGACATTTAAGATTAGCTGGTTTGATCCACCTTCATACACATGTGACATTACTGTACAACTTGAGAAAGGTGAGTTGTTTTCTGCTCCAGCCTGCCTAAAAGAAAAGCGTTTTTGGGATTAAATGGACTTTAATAGCTGCTGCAGTGCAGGATGAACTCAGAACAGACCCATTTCTCACCTTATTATTCTAAATCATGCAACGAAGAAGAAGAAATGCATAATAAATCCTGGGACAAAATCTGTCCACAGCATGTAGTCTGATGAACAAGACTTGTGTTATAGCTGACTTGGGCAGTGAAATGTTTAATTTTTTTAATTCATGTGGTCATAGTTGTCCACAACTCAAATCAGAATATAAGAAGAAATGTTTTATACCACCTCAAGAAGGCTTCCTATCAGAAAGTTAGGAAGGTATTTCAAATGTACAACTGCAGTACTTAATTCTAAGTAAAGTAATTTCCCTGACATTACTGTGTTACGCATGTAACAGGTTTTATACTTCCTGTGAGTATAATCCAATCAATCTTATTTTCATACTGTATATCCGTTGTGTAATTTGATAAATTGTGTTGTATGTGGTGCTCGCATCGGGTACAACTGACACTTCATTGCCCTCTTCAGAGAAGACTCTGACTGCAACATGCGTCTTTGTAAAGAGAGAAACGGACAGAAAAAGTCTCTAACTCTGCCTGTCAGCTCGCTCTGCTCCGTTAAAACTGAATTTACCATACAGAATTGAATACGAGTGCACTCCAGATTTAGCTGCAGCTAGCTGACCGTGTGCTTCTCCCTATACCGCAGTTCTGTGTCCATGCATGCAGCAAACTGAAAGCACCGTCTGTCGGAGCGTCTACGTGAAAAGAGAAGGAAGACATTGCTGGTAGTATTGTCTTCAGAGTTGTTAAACACCTCAGCGCACTGAAGGAAGCCATCTGACTGTGTGAGGGGCAAGATCGTTGATGTCTGCAGGCAGAGTAGGAGCTCTCCTGTCTGACTGGTCCACCAATAGCAGAGAAGATGACCCCTTGAGACACAGCCCCTCCTCATTTGCATAATGAGGCAGAAATGCATACAAAAATTTAAAAAAGACAGGCAGAAATAAATACCATGGGTGAAAATAAATAAGGTAAATAAATACAAAGGAAGAATAAAACAGACAAAATATTAAAACACACACATAAATAAATACATTAAAAAAATTGTAATAAATAAAGTTGAATAAACAAATAAGGTAATTATAACAAAGGTGAATAGTAAAGGCACTAATTAAAATATATACATTTATGTCTCCTTGTATAATTTAATTACTACCTACATTTATTTATTTACTTTTTTTTTGTGTATTTAATTGGATGCTTATTTATTTATTGAGCATTTATTTATTTCTGTATTTATTTCTGACTGTGTCAGGATCGGTCCTCCATAACGGGGTGGGAGAGTTATCAAGCACGTAAAGTTTGGTTCAGATGTGAGCATGTACAC